TCAGATTAAGATTAAGGCCACATCCACAGAATGACAATATTAGGTGTAATAGAAAAGGATCGTGCATCCAAACATAACTGTTGTTTTGGCCAAGCATAAATGATCATTTTTAAAACCATGTCCCAGTTAAAAAAAAAAAAATAGATAACGTTGGTTTCGTGTTTAACTGTGTACAAGTGAGCCCGGTAAAACTAACTTTCCTGTTTGTTTTTTTTTTTGTTTTTTTTTATTATGAATAAAAGTGTTTCTAAGTTTATTAGGTGAGTGAGATTCTCTAGTCATGTGATGTATAGAAAAAAAGCCATGGTGTGCTATCTCTATATTTTTTCATTTCATATCTTGCTTAATAGGTACAGTTAGGATCCATGTGGTCACTTCGGGGGAAACCTTTGGAGCTCATTTCACTGTGCTGAACCAGCTGGAGAAGAAGATAGCACTGATAAAAACAGAACGGCACAGAAATTGCATCACTATGCTTTTTTGTCCAGTCACTTCTCGTGTTGGGTCAGATGTGGAAGCAGCCATTAATTTGGTCAGAGGTAATCTGCCTAAGGTGTTGCAAAATCTATTTAATAGCACAACTTTTCCTCCATATTTAGTGTAATGCCTTAAGCACAGAACAGTCCTGGCAATGCTTTAAGAAGGCCCATCACTCTTATTTTTGTTTAATTAATTTCTTTGTCCACAGGACATGATAAGGTAATTCTGGTCCTGATGCATCACACCCGAGATGAGAACTACTCCACAGCTGGGATGGACTGGTCAGAAAGCTTTCGAAATGTGATCTTGAGTGTTCACATCCTATTCCATGAGACCGTGCCAGGGTTACTGCCATGTTCAGAAAACAAGATGGCGGTGAACAAAATTATAAAGGTGTTGCGTTACAACAGCGAAATTAGCTGGAGAAGAAGGTTCCTTAAAATTGGTGGAGGATTAATAGCAACATATTTTGTTTGTTTGTTAATAAGGCAGATGATGACCTTATATTAAACTCATAACTCTGCAAGCTTTGGTGAATTTGTGGTGCATACTTTTACTGAATTCATATAAACACTTTCCTGTCATGTATTGTCAAAATGCTTCCAACACAAACTAGCCATTATTATTAATAACTTTGACCCTTTATGTCAGAAAAGTCAGGGGTCACATACCATGTTTACTCTCACATCATGCAGCTGAGATTGCATAACTTTATAGATGTGATTTGAAACTGAGCTCTAAACATGAATAAAGCTTTTGTGTGCCATCCTTAATGTTTTCTGCATCAGTTTCTTCTGATCAGCCTTTGTCAGATTATATATTTTAAAAATAGTCAGTGCATTAGCTGTCTTCTGTTGCTGTTTTTGCCTCAAGAGATCTTACCATGGGTGTGTCTAATTTCAGCCGACCTGGTCCCCTGGAATGATCTATAGTGTAATTATTGGCTATTATAGGCTTATAACAATACAAAATATATCCAAAAATAAAGTTCTTTTGGTGAATGGACAATATAAAAAGGCTCTGCCTTGCCTTGTTGCAAAAGCATGGTTATGACCTGTTCTCAGCTCAGGAACTGGGACCCCTATGATATCTGGTTGTTCAATAGGTTTGCTTAAATAAAAGATTTAGATATGACTTATCAATATATCCCTGCTAAAAGGTCTGATGCAGGGGCAGGTAATGAAAAGTGCTTGGAACATGCTCTTGTTCTGATGCCAGTTTGTTTCAGCCTTTATCCAGTCTCGTGTAGAAGGGCTGGTCAAATAACATGTTATTTGCATTACAATAGACACATCTAGCAAGGTAGAGTGAATACACAAACTGGAAGAGGGGAGGGAGGCTTGCAGGAAAACTGGAATTCTCTGGGACTTCTAGTGATATCAAGCTTGACTCTGAGTTGTAATAGCAGAATTATATTGAAATAATATGATAACTGGAACATCTGGGCATCAGCTCATCCCTCTGCAATTTGCTGCTAGACTTCCTAACCAACAGACTTCAGTCAGTCCTGGTCAGACAGAACACCTCTGATGTCATCACCCTGAGCACAGGCTCCTCTCACGGCTGTGTCCTGAAACCCCTGCTGTTCACTCTGATGACACACGAGTGCATCCCCAGGTTCACCACCTATCACATCATGAAGTTTGCAGATGACGCTACGGTGGTGGGCCTCATCAGGGAAAACAACATCTGGGACTACAGAGAGGAGGTGAAGCAGCTAGTGAGCTGGTGTAGAGAAAACAGCCTGATCCTGAATGTGGGGAAAACGAAGATCATCGTCATCTTCAGGAAGAACCGGCCTAACCATGCTCCATTGCTCATCAACAGCAAACTGCGAAGGTGGTTAGCAGCACCAAATTCCTGGGGGTGCACATTACAGACACCCTCACCTGGACTGTGAACAGCACCTCACGGGTCAACAAGGCATAGAAGCGCTTGTACTTCATGTAGAGGATGAGGAGAGCCCACCTGTCCCTGTATTGTATAAATCTGATAAATATATTGTATAAACGATACAATTATATTGTATAAACGATACAATTATATTGTATAAATGTGATAACTTTATCCAAATGGTTGCTCTAGTATGCTTTTAGTCCACAAGACCCATGTCAGACAAAAAAGAAGTTGGTGCTCCAAGTAAATTTTTGGTGGAACATAATAACTATCATAACAAGGTTATCCGAGTAACCGTGGCATGGTTTCATCATGCATGTCATCTCCTCAGGTCGTTCGATGGCAAGTTTACTGGAGTTGATCAAGTTTTACTTTATGTTCAGTCTAAGACATGGAGAGATGCTGATGCTGCTGCACACAGTGGATGAGATCAGTATTAGCATGTGCACATTAAGAAAAATCCTTCAAAGATTGGGACTTGTTAGAAGAAAATATCAATCAGATCCTCTAAATGTGGCCGCCTTCCTCCTTGACCAGCTAGAGAGTTATAAGAGCCTGCATGGATATAAGTTTCACCACCTTAAATGTGTTCAACAGTGACATGTTGTAACTCAGAATATAGTGAGACATCTGTTAAAATTTCTGGACCCAAGGGGTGTAAAACAAAGGCGGAGAAGAAGGCTGATGCGACTCATATATATTAAACCTGGACCTAATTTCTTGTTGCATGTTAAGTCCTATGATAAACTGAAGCCATTTGGTATCTGTATTACTAGGGCAACAAATACATTTTCCAGACAAATTATATGGGTACATACTTTCTCCACAAGAAGTGGTCCTAAAGTTATTGCTGGACATTTTAAAAATGAAGTTGAGACAAGGATGGGGACCCCTGCTCGAATCCAGGCTGATTTTGAAACTGAAAATGTTACCATGGCAGAAATGCAGAGGTTCCTACGATAGAATTCTGTTAACTACTCCAATAATTGCTTTGTCTCTGGATCCAGCAATAAAAAAATCAGTGGATTGAAAGCTGGTGGGGCTTTTTGAGAATTTTTTGACACATCATGCTCAAACGTGAATGGATCGTTTTCAGAAACTGAATGATGATGATTATTTCTCTGGGGACTTTTTGGACAAACAACTTGTTCTGTTTTCCTGTCTGAAGATCCTTGAGGTATGTCAGAATATCAAAGCTTCCATTCTCCTTTTTGTGGCAACAAGTGGACGTCCAATTCTTACGTACACCATTCCACATCTGTTTGAAAGAAGACCTTATTCTTGTGATTAGTGTTCAGCTTGTGTTTCCTTATAATCTCTGATAACTTTTTACTCTCACCAACCACAGCAAATGAAGCCATAGAGCTATACATTTTCCTGAGGACAGATATAATTAAGGCCTTGTAAACCCAAAGGTCCTTTCACATTAGGATGTTGCTTCTTCCTGCCACTGTAAATGATGCACTGCTTTGTTTGTACATAACATCTGATTGGAAACAACATTTATACCAGAAACAAATTAAGATATATTGCATTAACAAATTATAATCACAACAATGTTGAATTGCAATGTTCAATTGCATTCATGCACTGAATAAATTGTCATGATATTAAAGTGTTTGTCAGAATAAATAATAATGCAAATTGTTGAGAGACAAATTTGTTTATTATTTTCATCTGTCAACCAACAATATTTCAGCTTGTAACTGCACATGGGTACATTTATAACAAAAATATTCAACATATATGCTATCTATGTTTTCAATAATATCTCTGTTTTTGAAGCCTAACATAATTTTAAAGTTAGCAATATTTTTTTTTTATTTTTTGGGAAATTTTTTATGTCAAACATCCCCCTAGAGAAAACGTTTGCTATGTGAGGGAACAAGAACAAGGGTGTGTATAAATTCAACAAACAATCAAACAAAAAAACAACATATCTGTTCACACATGCATATTTCTGCATCATGCATATTTCTGTTATGGGGTCAATAAAAACCTTCAGCTATAAACCTGAAAAGTAGGAATTTATTGGACACTATTCTGTTTGCTTCCCTACTTTCATTATATTATTGGTTGGGTGCCAAATTGTATAACTTGATCTAAACTATGCTGAACTCAAGGGAGTTTTGATTAAGCAGTATGCTTTCAATTTCAGCATGCAGTTCTGGGTATGATTTATATGTCCATGGCGATTCCAGAGCTTTTCAACAAGAATGTACAACAGGTCACCTTGCCAGGCTTTCTACTTCAACATTGTTAACACAGACAACATCTGACCCCATATCAAAACCTAAAATTCTCCTAAGTCTTGCATCTTTGAGTCCCCTGATGCACTGCTCCAGAAAACAAACGCTTTGATTTTCAGCTTCAGTTGTTGGAGATGCAGTAACTTCAACAAATATTCTGTAATGTAAATGCTTTTACCATCAGTGCTATTAATTCATATTTTCATATGTTACACATGTTCTTCCTAAACTGAAAGAAAGACTTCCCTTGATAAAACCATTGCATTTTAGATGGAGTTTAGGATAAATCACATGGTGTCTTGCTTACTAAGACTGAAAGTGAAAGTGCTTCAGCTCTTTAAGAGCGAATGGTTCAAGCAAAAATAGAAACAGTCTCTTATACCTTCAGAGTGAGTTTGAGGTGCCTGAGCTGCAACATATTCCCTGTTTGGTTTGTTTTTTCTCCAGATCATCACATTGCCAGCAAAGGTAGGAATCCTCACATTTTGTTCTTTCTCAAAGTAACAGTGAAACCTTTTTTTTTTTTTTTTTTTTTTTTTTATATTTCTTTTAATTCGATCATTAATTAGATCAAGTCCTCTAGGGACTAGGATTTTCTGCTTATTTTAATTCTATGGGGGCACCAAAGTCGAATCTCTTGTTTGTGCATGCTAGATTGGTCAGTAAAGCTGGTTCTTTGATGTTCAATTTCATTTTACTATGGTGTAGGAGTGGAAACTAAACAATGCTTTATTATGTTTTATTGTTTTAGGGCTTGTAAGTCCAATCTGCTATTAGTATGAAAGGACAGGTCAACTCTGACTTAAGGATAAACATGTTTGAAAGTAACTGAAAGTAATTTTAAAACAAATCTAATACATTATATAAGCATTTGCCGCCCTCTGATCAAACTTAAACAATAACCTCATATTAGGTAAACCATCTGTGCTTTATTTGGATGATTTTGCAGTTTTAGTTGCAGAAAAGTTGTATTATAAAAAAAATAATAATAATTATACTGCTTTGCTTCCCTCAGACTTAAAAATGGTCCAGAAATCCGCAGGTGAGCGTCATTGATAAAAAGATGCTGTTATTCATGTTTCAGCTCTGCTCATAATTCTCCTCTCATGTGTTTTGGTATTTAATTTAGTGAACATCCACACAATGACTTCAGGGGAGACATTTGGCGCTGATGAAGAACTGCTGAGGGAACTGAAGAAGAGGATGCAGCTGAATATTATACACTACCCGGAAAGCTGCATCATCATTGTTTTTTGCCCTATCATCTCTCGTGTTGGGTCAGATGTAGAAACAGCTATGAGTCGGGTGACAGGTACTAGTGCTAGTATGGATTTATTGAGGCATTCATTTAACCAAAGTAAAAAATTTCCTAATTCTATTGGCTTACTTCAGTTTTAGAAGTAGGCCTTGTCAAAGAAGGGAGCAGCTCAATTTCTATCAACTATAACTATCAACTATAAAAACTTCACACCTTGCTATTCTTATTTATTTTAATATTTATAAATGAAATGAAAAAAACAATGCAATTACTCTTCAGGGAAAAATTTGCCTCTTTTTGCATGATAAGGCCATTGGATAAATCATCAGAACAAACGAGAGAATAAAGAAGGGTGAGAACGTAAAACTTCTTAAATGCATTTAAAAATGAGCAAGTAACACAAAACATAATGAATGTAGACTAATATTAATGTCAGGGTTTGGTTGAGGTTTTTAGGACACAAATGCAGACGCGAGGAGGCAGATGTGAGTTATTGTAGTTTAATGGAGTACTCACAGGCAACTGAGGCAGGAATCCAGAAATCCAACATAATAAGTACATAAAAACAGAACCTTAGAGACATCAGGGAACAACATGCATGAAGAGCGGGGAAAAGAAGAGGAACCAGCACTGAGGAACTGCACAGGGAGAGTACTTATGCGAGACTGAAAAAAGACAGGACTAATTAGCTCATTGGGAGCAGGTGTAAACAGAGGCTTCTAGAAGGAGCTAGGGGAAAGGAGAATGACACAAGAGGGCAAGAGAGGAAAAGCAAGAAAAACCTAAGAACTAAAATATATCCAGAAAACGCAACTAAATAGGAATTAAACCAATAAAACTAGAAAAACATGGATCAAAGTGAAAACTGAATACACAAAGAAAACTGAACAGAACCAAAACCGGGACAATCAATAAAAATTATATTATAGCCAATATAAATTACAAAGATGGTGTAAGCTTAATATGCAAGGATATTAATAATATTATTTGATGAAAACCTACCTTCTGAAAAAATGAATAAGAAAGTAACTATAATGATCATTCTAAGATCATAAAAGGTCTACAAAACCTTTATAAAAAGAAAAATGCAAAAAAATTAGAAAATAATTTCGAAGTAAATTCAAAATAAGTTCAAGAATATTCAACAGCTATAAATTCATATTATGTATTAAAAATGATTAAAATATATAGAGAGAGTATATAGACCACTACATGTATAATAAGTGTTATTGTATTATTTACATTTATTTTGTGTAACAAATTATTACAGCATTGAGCTTAACTCTATTGTCGGAAATGGAAGTAATGTAAATGGCTGTGCCTTATTTTAAAACAGGCTTACTATAGTGTATCGATATTATTAATGTACATTTAAAGTGTACTAATATTTTCAAAACAAATTTTATATTTCATGGTTACTATTTGCTTTTTAGTTGGTAATGGAGTATAAGTGATGTTGCCATAGTTTTTTGTTTTTAGATTTGAATCAGCTGCTTTAATAGATGGCCATTTAGTTGTTTATATTTATGATTCACTAACCACTCAGCTTTAAGTACGTAATCAATGTAGATAGGATGGTTTTAGTTTGAATACCAAAACTTCCCTTAATGCAATTTTTTTCTTTTCTTGTTACAGCACAAAATCAAAAAGTTATTCTGGTTATGATGCACCACACCCGAGACGAAAGCTACTCCACAGCTGGGATAATGTGGTCTGAAGTGTTTCCCAATGTGATCTTGGATGTTCATGTTCTCTTTCATGAGACAATGCAAGGATTACTGAAGTGTGATAACAACACGAGGGCTATTGATGAAATGGTTCAAACATTACTGTCCCAGAATCGACAACTTGGATACCCAGATGTAGAAAGTCAGACACAGGCGTTACTTAGACACCCTACTGAACGTGTTTCAAAATGTTTTCCTTATTGGAAGATTGTTATTGGATTTATCGTGGTCGTGTTGATTATTTTACTGCTTGTCATTTTTTTGGTGCCAGTTCACACATAATAAGCAAACAAAGAAAAACACAGAGGCTGAAAGGCAAAGAAGAAGCTACTAAAATAAACCATGCATACAACCATTCTGTGTTGATTAATTTGAATTTGTAAAATGCCTTGAGATGACATGCTGTAAATTAATGCTAAAAAAAATAAACTGATTTGATACATGGATCTTCTGTATTTACTTATTTTAGATTTCTGTTTAGTTTTTCTAGCACACTTTTTACTCTTTGTGAAGAATCTACATTAACTCTAAATTTACCAAGTAAAGAGCACTTTTACCACAGAGAATTTATTTTTTGTCATCATATCCTGACCAAATGGGGCTCAGCTGGTGGTAGTTTCATTCACTTTTGTGTTTAACAGTGTCGACGGAGATGGTGGAACAAGCTCTGACTACAGGTTAAGCATGGGTGTCAAAATCAAGTCAATATCCTGCAACCTTTTGATATGTCTCTGTTAAAGTATAACACCTGAATCAAAAGGCTGAATTATCTCCGCAGTACGCAGTCATGTTTTGAGGAGTCCCGCTGATGACCATATTATTTAATTTGTGTGTTTTTAAGCATATATGGATCTAATATAAGGAGGAATGAAGGAATGAAGTTTGACATCTCTAGCTTGCAATAACTGCTGTGGAAGGGGATTTAAATTTTTATGAGAGCTTCAGGACAGATGTGTATGTTTAAAGGTTCCTTACCTGTTTTTATTCCCTCAAGTACAATCATATGGAATAAGACTCATTTATTTAAATAGTAACTGAGTTCTACATAGAAAAATCATTCTTAAATATTTTACAAAAATATTTATTAGTATATATTATAATAATATATCTATTTTTTGAATTTGCAATGTTTTGAACAATTTGCTCTAATAATGCTCATTTAATATCCTTTAAAATTATTTAAGATAACATTTTTTCCTAAAACATAAAATCCATAATGAAGTGTGATATAATTTGCATAATTTTGTTGTTAATTTTTATTAGCTATTTTAATCTGTCTTTTTTGCCAATGTGTACATAGTAGCGTATTAGTCTATTTAGGTTTTACCCAATTAGACAAGAGTTTAACTTAAAAATGTAAAGAATTAAGTTAAATTTTTTGTCAACAAATTGTAATATTCTAATTGGAATTTGTTGTGAATTTATTTCATATGTGTGCAGAGTAAATGTTTCATCATAATTTGAGTTTGAACACACTTTCATCTATTGTCCTATCTCATAGTAATCGTGCATTTGTTCACAGAACAATACATGACAGACCAAAAGTTGCTTGATAAATATTAAATGACTTGAATATATACAAGTGTGCACCACAATCTATGCTTCCAGTTACGGTAATACCGGGCGCCCTGAAATGTTTGCTTGCAAAAAGTGTTGCTTAAAATATAACATTTTATGTGAACTGTATTTTTTCCCTTCACTCATGCTTTCTGCTCTTTGTAATTTGCATTTTATTTATGTTGTGGATTTGTGACAGTGAAACAAAGCTTAAAAGCCCTATAGAACAGGGATGTTTTTCAATAAGAAGGTTTTCTGTAAACTTTAAATTTTCTGAGCCTGAAATCAGGTAAACTCTGAGTTTTCAGTTTCACAAAAAAGTTTACTCAACCTCAGTTTCTTTTGCCACAGTAACATTCTCCTACGAGCTAACTCGGTCGCAAGGCCGCCATGTTGAGCCTGGTTCTGCAAGAGATTTCTTCTCACTGAGGAGTTTTTCCTCTCCACTGTATCAGGATCCCAGTTTTTCTGTTTGTCTTGCCTTTTGTGTTTCTCCCTTCCACCACCAGGAGGCGCCTGGCTCCGGTGCGCCTCCTCACACACCTGCAAGCGGTTGCCTCATCACCAGACTTCTCTTAAGCTGCTGCTTGCCACTACTTCGACGCCAGAGTGTTTGCCATTTTGGGGTACTCTAGCCAAGCCTTGTTTATGCTGAGTCTTATCTGAGTTTTTGCATTTTGAGTTTTTGTCCTCTAGCCAAGCTGAGATCACATTGAGTTTTACTGAGCGCTTGTTTCTCCCTGAGTCTCAACTTTGTTTGTTCTTTGCCTTTCGGCAGGAAGCCTTCCTGCAAACTGGACCTTTTCAGACCGCCTTCTCCCAAGTGGAATCAACTGAGTCTTACACTGAGCGACGGATTCCAAACAGGTGGTTTGGATCCAGCCACCTTTGAGCACGCTGAGATCACTCTCTGAGTAAGGAAGTCATCTTCACCATGACGTCATCTTCACGTTCAAGTACCACAGGAAAACTGAGTTGCAACCAGCGGCTGCATCATTCCACTCCGTCCGAGTTCTGGGTAAACCCTGTTCCGCCCTCCACCGAATCAAACAAACCCTGGAAGACCAACACACAGACTGGAGCCTACATGTCTCTTCTTCTCTGGAAACTTGAGTGGCAACAAATCCTCTCCTTTAAGATTAACAACTCCAATTCCCCACTGAGCCTGACTCTAACAGTCTGTCTTCCCCTCGCCTTTCAGTTTCCCGGCCGAGCAGAGTTCAGAGGATCTCCGCACCGAACTCTAAATACCTTTCAATAAAACCCGTTCAAACTTTTACTCTGTGTCTCTCTGTTTTGCTTCACTGCATGTGGGTCCGAGCTTAAGATAAAATCATGACACACTGCGCTTCATGCTTGATCATCATGGACAGGTTCTCTGAACCTGTGTTATCCAAACTGGACTTCCATCTTCCAGGTCCCCGAGTAAGACTCTAGAATCAGCTCATGCAATCCACTGGATCTCCCCATGAAGCTTAGCATACCGTTTCGCTAACCAGCAGCCTACAGACTGACCAACTTCAGCTATCTCCACTCCACCACCAGTTTCAGGCCTGGGGGGGAAACAGCCCTATTCTTTGCTACTGTTCATGCATATCTATCAAAATTAAGTGCCATGTTTCCTGCCGAGGTCTGAGCTCCAAAGAAAAAGTAATTGTATGTTGTCGGAAAATTTTTATCTTTCTTCTATTATATATTCATATTCATATTTACTCACTATAAAAGTTTTCACTCAGTCTGTTCCTCTCTCAAGGTCACACAGCGATTGTCAGAAGTGTCAGGTACCACCTGGAGGAAGCAGTCTTCCAGCCTCAATACCCCGTTAGAAGGTTAAGGGAGTGAGGACGTCTGACATCGAGGTCCCTGGAGGTCAGCAGGAGGATCAAAACAAACCATTTTTTGAGACGGTGAGATTAATCTTTTGTCGGCACAGTTTGAATTAAATTTCCAAAACTAAATTACAAAACACCAGGTTGTTTACAGATTTAAAGATAATTATAAATCAAATACTGGAAAATTAGTTCAAACAAAGTCCTCTTCTTCTCCATAAAAAAAATCAAATAAATAAATGTAATCTAAACCTTATACTAAACATATTTACACTGTATTACATATTAAACTTACACTATACTAAGTTTTAATAATAAATTTTAATTTCAATGGTGCTTTTAAAGAAACAAAACTCTAAACTCTTACAGGAAATTAATTACTCATATCAAAAAAAGTTAAATTAAATTAAATAAATAAAAAAAACTATTAAATTATTACAGAAAAAAAGTAAGCAGGGCATAAAGTAAGGTCAAATTAAAAGTTTAAAAACTGAAAAAACTTAAAATAAAATAAAATGGAGGAATTAACCTAAAATTAAATAAAGAAAACAAACAAAATTAAATAGAGAAAAGTAAGGTTGATGATAAAAGCAAATATGAGAAAATTAGATGAGAAAAGTTTGTGACGAGAGGGGAACGTGACTTAAAGTGACTGAAGGATGAAGTGGGGTGACTGATGAGATGACATTTCCTTCCTGAAAAGGCTTCTTCTTTTATATGGTAAAGATGAACTATTTTATTTTATTTTATTATTTTTATTATCCATTTGAAACACTGAAACTCTTCCTTAAACTAATCATTGTTTTTTTTTTTTTTTTTTACTCCCTGAACGGAGCCGCTCCTTGTAGAATTCAGACCTGGAGGAGATGCCCCCCCTCCCATCAGCCCGCCGGAGAAAGACAGCCTGCTACAACTATTAATCTCCCCCCCACCCCCCAACGCACACACACCGACACAGCAACCGGACGGAAATGATGAGTTACAAATCTGAGGAAAACAACACAAAAGGATTTTCATCTGCTCTGAACCCCTGACCCTAGTGGCTCACCTGAGCTGCAACCTGCTCCACAATGTGTGTGTGTGCAAAAAACATGAGGACAGAGACACTGGGGAATTTCTTTTTTTGGGGAAACAAGGAGGAGGTGCACCAACATAGGGCTTCCCTTCTCTCCGGTGCTAAATTATTGAATAATTTTTTTTGTTTGAGAAGTGGCTGACCTTTTTGGACTGAGGTGGTGGAGCTCCAGGACTGAAACCGCCTGTTGGCAGCAATCAGTAAAGGGTAAAGTGATCAATTATATATTTTATTTTCTTTTCTTTTCTTTTCTTTTCCATTTCCATAGACTTCCAAATATTCAAGAAAAGCTTGATAAGTTTCTCTTATTAGATTCCTTTCTGCATCTTTCAATGAAGAAAATGCTTGCTGACAGACTGACTTTATCTATGGGAAATGTCTGATGAGAGTGATAATGTACGGCCTGGTTAGCTTTCACTAAACCATGATTGTTTTAGAGTAATTTTTGATCAAATTAGAACCAACCTTAAGTATCTAAACCAAAAATTATCTTTTAAAAGAAAAGAACTCAGCAGCAACTGTCTTTTCCTATGTCGGCTTCAGTACTGGAAAACAAAACGTTTATTATCAGGCCTGTGGTTGTTTAAAAACAGGACGGGTCTCATTTTGTTCATTTCCTGCTATCACCATGTTCCATAATGTTATGGACGGACCTGGAGATTAAAACTTAGGCAAATCCAGAGAGAGACCAAACATTGTCTGACACAGTAGTAGTGAAATGCGCAGAGGTTTTAGTCACAAACCAAATTCTCTGTTTCCACAGCAGCCACTCGGAGAGATTAGCTTTATCTCTTCATGATTTTGTGGTATGTTGCTTTGTCCCTGTGCCATGAATGTCCCCATGCTGAACAACACTCCGCCGCAGACCAAATCAGATGAAAGTGTGCATTCAGCTCGGCAAAGAACTCATGCTCTTCCTAAACACTGAAGTCCTCAGACATTTTTCTTTCGTTGTTTCTTTCTTTGCACAGGTAAACGG